ATAATGACTGTCTGTTTCTCACAGGAGAAGAATATTGACTCCATCTGACAACAGCACACATGTTTAAATCAAAAAAGATAATTCTCTCTTAAGTGTACAAACATGTAAGAGAAACCATGTGAAAGATTTCTTTCTGTAATAATAAGGCAAATCATTGTTGCATCAGACCGTTTGAAAGAAAACATTGTGTGAAGCGAAGTGAAAAGTGAGTAAAAAGTGATTGTAGGATATTTTAAATTGTTTTGATGGTGTATATTTTTTCTTATTAAGAAATGAGCCAATCCCACACAGCATGCATCCCTGTTGACTGCAGTGTCATTTTTGATAATACCACTCAGGGATATTAGAAATTTAATTTAGGAGAAAACTATGAGGGGGAAAAAAATGAAATATGTAAAAGGCTCTGCTTTGGTAAAAAATTAAACGTTTAGGTTCAGATGGCAAAGTTGGACATTTTCAAATTCTTGACGAAATGGCTTTAATTCATAGCTGGTTTTTGTATTTTCTTAACCAAAGCCTTTCATCAGCTTTGCTGCAGGGTTTTGCTTCTGTTGGACTAACTGTAAAATCAGTATTGTGCACCAACAATATAGCAGGAGCAAAATATCAAAATACATTTGATAGGAGGGATAAAGCAAGCTAGCACTAACAAAGGTTTTACTATGAATCAGCTAGAGCCACAATAAAGCCACTGATAGGAAACTTCTTGCTTAATTAAGGTTGGTATACTGTTTTGGATAATGTTATATCAGTAGATAATTTAAAAGAGGAATCAACATTTGTTACTAAGGCTGATGTGAATATCAAGAGCATAACAATGTTTGTTGTTGTATTTTTTAAAACTGTATTCATCTGTGACCATTTCACTCACATTTTGATTTATGGATTTAACTATCTGCAGAGTTCACTTTGCCAGATTCGCTCTTGATAGTGATAGTTCTGAAGTTTACAATGCCCTTTAATCTTTATTGACAAATGTCATAGAGACGAAAGCTGACAGGTGCTTATTAAATGTGAAATAGTTTTTTTCATCTGGGGGATGAAACTATGAGTTTCTCATGCAGCTGTTTAGCAGCCCAAATATTATGTAACATCTTGGTATTCATGAGTGGAAAGAGTCTTTTAAAGTCTGTTTTGGACATAGCCATAAGATGAAATGTGTGTAGGATAATAACTTTATTATGATTAATAATTATATTGTTACACATAATTATAGCTGGTATTTTTTAATTTACATTAAATAAAACATTTAAACTGTGCTAACCAGAGACATGTGGGTGTGGAAATACACAAAGGCATACTTATACGCACCATGTAGCATTAGAGAGAGAGACTCTTGGCAAACTATTATTTATCGAGCTCCAAAGCTCTAACAGTTATTTTTGGTCTGTCAGAGCACGACAGATTATGTAACTTTTGAATCTGCTCCTCCGTATGACACATAATGCAGAGATGGAACACTAAAGACACTGTGGTCTATAGGTCTTTATTAACTAAAATGTCAAATTACCGTATTTAACCTTAGTTAAGATGCTTTAACAGCTACCTGAAAATAGACCTCCAAACATTTAGGTGTGTATTATTCACTTGTTAGAACAGGAAAGTTGAACTGACTGTTATTGGAAATGATGAAAAACAATAAACAACAAAAAGAACAAAAAGTATGGCTCACCGGAAAACAACAACACTGACAGTTTATGTCTTGTGTCTTGCAATTAACAACAATTGTACATTTAGTAAAAATAAATTTTTACATTAAGAATAACTGATTATCGATCCAAAAGGGATCTAGTGAAGTGTAGTGTCTTTAGTCAAATGACAAGGCAATACATCACAATGGATTTAAGAAATGGAAGCAGGCCTACAGGCTGGAAAGGAAGTTTTGAAAGGTTCAAATCCTGTGCCTGAGTTCTGTCTCACAAAACAAGTTTGTCATTGTCAGGCTATCATGTAGCCTTCACAAAACCTCACACCAGGTATACCTGGACCCACAAAGCTGGTTATCTGGCTCAATATAGAATTTACAAACCCAGCTACATGTGCATTCACATAAGTACTGTGTGATTAATAACAAACAGTAACAATAGAAAAGCCCAAAATAAGCCAAAAGCGAAGCCATAATTCTCGATGATAAAGCAGTTAGTCATAGTTTGTAGTTGTTAGAGAGAGAGAGAACATTAAACCCCTGCAGCCCTTAGTCATTTTGTGTTACAGAAGAGTAAAAGCAATGCTTAATTCACGCAAATAAACAATACCTGTAACTTATTCATACTTCAGTTTACCTATCAATTCAGGTGACATTTTATGGTAAAGAAACACTTCCCTGATCTGGACCTGTCACTTAGAACTCAGTAGGAGAATGTATTCATATATGAGTACATTTTAAATTGCTTTGCATTCTGGATTATATTTCAGTCATACTTTCCACCTCATGACTTGGATAAAGACAGATTTTCATCTTATCATGGCCAAGTCTATACATGATGGCACTGCATTGCATCCAAAACTGAGCAACCACCATGCCAGGAACATGTCAGCTCTTCAATGTTGCATCCAGAGGACGAGTCACTTTCACACAGCTGCATCCAAGGCATTCACGGAGCTGGGGAGTTCTTCTGGTATGCTTACATGATTTATCTGTGCCAATTAAAAACAGACTGAAACCTTCCCTGAACTTCTACATTTGTAGGTCAGATGTGGTATACATACATATTCTACAATAAGAACATCATGTCCCACTATTTTGGCATTGATTGTAGAATTAAGTCATTCATTTGCATCAATAACAGCTGATCATCTCGGTTAAATCTAACAATAACAGCTTTTAAAATAATATTTATTTGTGTGCTTTTCTAAAATCTGAATGTTAACTCTTAGCCTCTCTTTCCTATTGATTATACTTTTATACCCAAGTAATGTATCATTGCATGGTTGATGATTATTAAGTTCTGGAACAATCTTTCTTATTCAGTTTGACCTTTGCGCTTTGGTGATACGGAAATTAATACAGTTCTATTCTAAAATGTACCTGCTTATTTAATTCTCTTGCAGTAAGAACATGTTTTAAAAATTGTCTTTTGTACAAAGTCAAAGCGTGATGCGCCTTTGAAGGCTGATTTTTTTCAAGCGTAGAAAACTCATTCCATTAACATATTGTTTGGTCAAAAATTTCAAACAACAAAAGTCTGAGAGATAAGTGAAAGCTCATTCGGCATAAAGAAGCTGTATATGAATTTGCCGCCTGTGTAGTTTCACCAAAGGATGAGCAGACAGCTGCTTGTTGGTGATAGTGATGAACAGTGGAAACTGTCAAGTGAAATTTGAATCTGTTACTGGTGATACCAGCAGTCTTATAAATGACTTAATAATTGATTGGGAGATCACTTCTGAGTATAATGTGGAAAATCCAAGACCAAATGGAAAAGCAATTGGATCCTCCAGCAGATGTTTTCTCCATTTTCAGACAATGTTCTACATGTATAAAATATTACCTGCTGTGTGTCTGACTGCAGAATGTATTTACTTTCTCTGTAGCAAGATTTGCATGTTACTGTAGCATTTTGCTAAAATGGTTACTTAATATCTGCTGGTAATGTAACAGTGACTGACAGTCTAAACATACATAAATCCCTCTGGGATTTTAGTGAAGGGGGTAATATTAACTGAATAAACAAACAAACAAACAAACAGGAGGGTAAATGATTTATTTTTGCGGTCATAGAGACTTGATTCCCAGCAAACCTCCAGCCTTACAAACAGACTCCCTTTCTTGGAAAGGGTGTTTATGCTGTCCTGATTTAGTATTTTCCTCTAGAGTTTGTCGAATTTATGTTTACCTTCAGATACATTTCAATTTGCTTCCCCATCTTATTGTGGAAAGCCACCTTCTGTTGTTGTTCTTTTTGTAGTCTTTATTTGGCTTTTGACTT